TATTATTGTCAATCTCTCCCTTGATATCCTCCATGAACTTTTTTATGTATTTGGGTGCTCCTGTATTGGGTGCATATGTTTACAAGAGTTATATTTTCTTGTTGAATTGCTCCCTTTCGTATTATGAAGTGGCCTTCCTTATCTCTTGCTATGGCCTTCATTTTGAGGTCTAATTTGTCAGATATAAGTATTGCTATGCCATCTTTTTTTTCTTATTTTCAGGCCTGGTGCCTGAATGATATTTTTCCATCCCTTCACCATCAGTCTGTTTGAGTTCTTTATTTTGAGATGCGTTTCCTGTAGACAGCAGATATATAGGTCATGTTTTCTTATCCACTCAGCTACTCTATGTATTTTGATTGGGGCATTTAATTTTTAAAGCTATTATTGATAGGTTCTTGTTTGTCACCATTTTTATTCTGTATGCTTGTGTTCCTTCTTCCCTTCCTATTTCTTCTTTTTATAGCAGACCCTTTAGCATTTATTGCATTGCTGGTTTGGTGATAATAAACTCCCTTAATCCTTTTTTGTCTGTGAAGCTCCTGATTTCACCCTCAATTTTGATTGATAGCCTTGCTGGGTATAGTATTCTTGGATTCAGACCCTGGCTTTGCATGACTTTGTATATTTCATTCCATTCCCTTCTGGCCTGATGTGTTTCTGGTGAGAAATCAATTGATAGTCTGATGGGAGATCCTTTGCAGGTAATTTTCTGTCTCTCTCTGGCAGCCTTTAAGATTCTAACTTTGTCCTTGATGTTCGCCAATTTAATTATAATGTGTCTTGGTGCCGATCTTTTGGGGTTCATCTTGTTTGGGACTCTGTGAGCTTCTTGGGCTTGTGTGAGTTTTTTCTTCCCAATATCAGGGAAGTTTTCTGTCATTATTTCTTCAAACAGGTTTTCTATTCCTTGCTCAGTTTTTTTCTCCTTCTGGTGCCCCTATTATGCAGATGTTGTTTTGTTTCATGTTGTACCAAAATTCCCTTAGGCTCTCCCTCTGTTTTTTAATTTTTTTTTCTAGATGCTTCTCTGCTTGGGTAGTTTTTCTTACCTTGTCTTCTAGCTCACTGATGCAGCCCTTTACTTCTTCTAGTCTACTGATGATGCCTTCTATTAGGTTCTTTATTGCAGTGATGTCATTTTTCATTTCTTCTTGGTTCTTCTTCATTTCCTCTTGGTTCTTACACATATTGTTGAATTTGTCTTCTATCCTTTTCAGCGACCTTATGACTATTGCTCTGAATTCTTTCTCTGTCATATTTCTTGCCTCCATTTCAATTACTTCCTTTTCTGGTGATCCTCCTTTTCTTTCATATGTGGGCTGTTTCATTGTCTCCCCATGATGCTCCTCTCTAGGTGCCTGGTTATGTAGCTCTCTCTCTCCTGCATTGACATAAAGGCACAAAATACAACACAACAAGACACAATTCATAAGGCACCAAACACAAATGTATTCACAATACTAATGCCCCTGAATAAAGGTGACCACCAGAGAAAAGAGAATTAGGGAATAGAGAAGAGTGAAAAATGATATTGAGGAAAGGAAAAAATGTAAAAGAAAGAGGAGAAAAAAAGAGAGAAATATATGTATATGGGGAGAAAACTCCAATAAAACAACAACTAATCCAAAAAAATGCAAACAACAAACACCCAGAGATTAATGCAAGCTATAAAGAACAACTAATTCAAAAAATGCAAACAACACACCTCCAAACAACAAACACCCAGATGAATCTGAGGCGGCAGAGCTTATTTCCAGGAGGTAAGGTCAAGGAATTGAATGAATGGGGAAATAGCCACAATTCAGTTATAGAGGAAGAAGAAAGAGAATGGGTGTATAAGAAGAAAAGTAGAAAACTCAATACAAAAAAAGAATACATATATATATGATGCTCTCTTATTGCAGAAAATGCTGTCTGTGAGGAGGAGACACTGGAGGAGGAGCACAGGAGCAGCGAAGAGCTGAGGCTCTGGAATTACCGGCTCCTCAAGGTCTTCTTCGTGCTGTAGGTGATTGTTTAGGGGAGGGGGTGTATGGGTGTTTGGAGCAGGGGTCTTGGTGTGTGAGGTGGCCACTGTCCAGAGCAAGGGGAAGATTCTGAGTCATCTGCAAGCTCCTGGTTAGCGTCTGGAGGTCACATGGCAGGCAGGCCCTCCTGTGGT